GTCACTAATGAAAAGGCAGTAACAGAGGAAGAACTATCCCAAGGTGCCATCCAACCTGCTTCTACAAGGTCCACAATGGGTCTTTGAATTGCTGAATTCAACTTTTCACTGAGCACTTACTCTGTGCCCAGCACCTTAGTATATATAAGGATAAGTAGGGCACAGCCTCCATCTCCTAAGAGCTTATAATCTAGTCAGAAAGATAGACCTTTAGTAGGAAGCTATTCTAAGAGTGAGCACAGGTACATGGTGTAGGCTAGGTTTGCTGGGGGAAGGAAAATCAAAGAGGTCATAAATACAGACGTTAGATCCATCTGCAAATAACCACAGTGCATCTTTTCAGATATACATGAAATAGGGTGAGTCAGGTCAAGGGCTGAGGCATGAAGGAGACGGCGTAGATGACAACTTCAGGAGAAGGCAGTTGCGTGTAGAGGAGACGTTATGTTAACCATGTATGTCCTTGCTTGGTAGCTGAGTTCCTGTGCATTATCTGTCCCACCAATGCATCCAGGTCTCACAGCCTTAGTAAGCATGGCCCTGCATCCCTTTTTAAGGCTGCCAGCCGCAATCACCCAAACTGACGTCCTCAGACACCAGGTAAGGCCCAGGAGCAAGCAACCACTGGGGACGTCTTCAAGTACCATCAAGACCACAGTTTCGTGCCACACGATTACCACAAGAAAAATGGAAATTTTGATGCCAGGCACAAAATAGCAAACATAGGAGTTACATTAGCTTCAAACAAACAAAAAAGCAAAGTAAGTGTCAGCCTAAAAGGACAGGGGGAATTTCACGACTATGAAATGAATGTTTCCCTTGGTCAAATCACACTTATGTTTGATACTATCTACTGCACAAAGAGAGCAATCTTTCAACACAAATCCTTCTGGGTTTGGGGAAACCCTAGAACTGTCCTCATTCTATCCCTGAGTGGCTATGGGGAAAAAAAAGATTCAAATAATGGAAATAAGAATTGCCATCAACTCTAAGGTAGAGATGAAGATTGGAAGTAAAATTAACATATCATAAAAATGAAATCATTTAAGATGCCCAATGAAGAGCATACTGTATCTTACGTTCTTTTTGAAGTTGTAAGTACCTGGATACAGATTCCTTAAAATGAAAACAAGCCCTGCACCTCTACAGCAATTTGCTTCCTATTAAAGAGCATGTCAGCTATTTTCGTCTGGAATTGGTACGACAAAGAAGCTTGTTTATCTTCTTTTCATTTGAGAAAGCGTCCTTCCTGGCAGCAAGAAGGTTGGCACAGCTGATGCAGAGCTGATCCAGATTTCCGACGCAAGCTTGGAGGGGGCTTTCCAAACAGCAGGAGCACTGGAAAGCAGTCGCCAGTCTGCACAGCTCCAGGCCCTACAGGGCAATCTGCTTCCAGCCTTCAGAGTGACTGAGCACGTGGCAAGGGGCCTCCAACAGAAGCAGGCCTCCTGGACATCCCTGGAGTCTCCACTCCTCTGGAATCCGGCATCACGCCTGTTTGCACTTCCTGCTTCATCGAGGTATTGCCAGGAGCATAAACAAGTGTAGATCTCTTACTAACAACCTCCCTGCAAACGTCTCCTATGTAATTTCTCTTAGTGGCCATTTTAACGAAGTTCAAAACCACATGCTGGGTTGAGGATTTTTAACGGCAAGGTAAATGCTGGCAAAATTACTATTATTGAGGACAAACAGGCCAGAGAGAGCACAGTTAAGACAAATAATTATTGGAACATAGCTTATAAAATTGAAAATTTTAATCCTCAGGTAATAGCAACATGGTAGGTGGGTGAGGGGATGTGGAAACATGCTAAAATTTCTGTTGCAGTTAAACATTGGATGTAGATACTGAAAAATATCTTAGATTAATTGATTAATTAAAATATAGACAAAATAGTAATAGAAATTACTAAGATAAAAAATATAGTTTATAAAACATCTAAACTACTAGGGAAAATTAGGTTGATCCCAAATGAGTGAGGCCTCGTGGAAACGGGATGTCTGTCTTTGCATGTAATTCCTTCCCTTCTCCTTCTGTTGACACAATCTCTCTTTCTAGTCATGGTACCCAAGTCCCAAGCAACAACCACTGGTCTAACAGTAGTCACAGGATCAAAACTCAGTCAGTCTGAATCCTTGCTGCACTCCGTCTCTCCAACGAAGAGATGGAAAAGACTTCCCTGCTAAGCTTCATTTAATAAAAAAGAGGTTTTGGCACTCACATAAAACCTTTCATCCTTGATTCTGAAATTATTTCACAAACATTAATTCTTGCAGAATTCCTGCAAGGCAGATATTATAGTCACAGATTCATGGAGATCTGAAGATTTAAAAAAAAACAAAAAAATACTTCAGAGATCATCCAATTCAAGTCACCTCATTTTTTCTCATTAAAAAACAAAGAAAGAAAGAAATCCCAAAAGGTAAAGTGACTTGCCCAAGCAGTTCTCTTTTTAAAAATGTGAATACAAGACAGTCAGGTGAATAACGCCAAGCCAGAGAATGCATTTTTAATTACTACAGAAATTAAACTTTAAACTTCATCTACTAGTCTTGGGAGGAAGTTTATTCTGTCTTTTTAAAGGCAGACCTAAGGGATAGAGAAATGGGTAGAGATTTGAGAGATGGGTTAATAAAGTGACATGCCAATAGCGAGTGATAATTTCAAGCAGCAGTGAGCAGAAGAAACAATGTGTTTTTCTACTCCCTTAAGATGCTGTGCTCTAAGACCATGAGCCTGTAGGTATCACTATTCAAATAGGAGACACCATTCACTTGGAGAAGAAGCCTCAGGGAGTGACGCCAACAAGGAGAGAGAGTGAAGGTCAATAACAGAGATGTGGAGAGATTACCTGACACTGTTTAAGCCCTGATTTTCTGTCAACACTGAAGCCAGCTTCCCCTTCACTGTTCTGTTTTCCTTGCTTCAGCCTATGCATAAACACACACGCACGCCTTTTCCTTACATTACTCTGAATGGTGTATCTATCACTTAGAATAGAGAAGCCTGATCAGAACCCTAAGAAAAGAGCCATAGAGGTAATGAGCTCCCATGACAAATTAATAACCTAAAATAACTTACCATATGTACGTCTCATTACACTGAAATAAATAAAAATAATAAAATAAATAAAAGATAGATGAAAAGTAACCAAAATGAACCCGAAGGATTCAATTTTCCTACGAGACAGATATTGGATTGGGTAAAAAAATTAAACAAACACAGAATAAAAACAAATAGACAAGTCAAACAACGTTACTTAAATGCTGTTTTCAAGATACACATCCCAAACAAAACGACATAAAGTTAAAAAATGTAGGATGGAAAAAAAGCCAAGTAAAAACGTATTTTTAAAAATGGTGTGACAATATTAATAAAAGAAAAAATAGACTTCAATGTGAAGATTATTTATTTGGATAAAGAGACCTATTTTATTATGACTAGAGATCTACTTTACTAAGAACTTGTAACAATCAGAAGCCTTTATTCTTCTAGCCACATCAGTTTAAAACATGCAAAGGAAACCCAGTGAAACATAAGGACCAGCAGATAAACACGTAATTAGAGTGGGAGACACAACAGTTTATCCCAGGATCATCAGATCAAGAAGTGTAACCACCATGTGAGCAAACACGGCTCATGGGAAGTCATGAAGAAACTATTTCGCATCTCATTGTCCTATTGTTTTTGCTCAGTGGGGCTATTTCCCCCTCTACTCAGCTCAGGTTAACTGGGCAGCCTTATGATTTACCCTAAAGGAATCATTCCTGTTTAATTTATTAAACAGAGTCTCCTTTCAGCTATTTAAATGTCCAGTCCGACATATTCATCAAAAACGCAAACCTTGATTTAAGCCATCTCCTGCTCTCCAGGCCAGATCCCTCTGCAGGCAAAAATCTAAGGAAAGAAGGTTAGCCGGCTTCTGCTCTGTCCTCCCCTGTTTCTTCTGCTCCTCCTCCCCTTCTCTCCTCCAACAATGGGACAAGTGGATAGGAAATTGCGAGCGAGGCCACGCTCCTCTCTATAAATGTCTGGTCCGTACACATTGCAAGTCTCTCCCAAAATTTTGGAAGAGCAGTTTCCTACCAAACGCCCAAGACTCTTCACTGGGTTCCAGGACCAAAGATCCTTCTCTCCCTGTTTCCTCAGTCCTCGAGGGGGTAGCTCTGTTTCAGACCCTTGGATGTGTCACTGCCCCTTGCTGGTTTCTTTAGTCCTGCCCACACGTGTTTCTTGTTAGGACCACAACTGATAGACCAGCTATGTGGTACCATGCAGCTATCAAATCCTGTGAAAGGAACTAGATGTACTGACCTAAAAACAATCCCACCATGGATAGGCTAGATTTTCAAAAGGCCGAAAAAGATACCCACAGTTGTATCATTTATCCATAACCAAGATTTGCCATGTTTGGGTGGAATGCTATATATTTCCAACACTTAGGTATTTCAAACTCACAGTGAACTTTAATAGGAAAAAAAAAGATTTGAGTATAAAATACACACTTGGACAATGCAGTGGTTTACAAAGATCTTTAACTGTCAAATATATAAACAATTGATAATCTTCAACCACTTATGCCATTTCAGCGCCAGTACTGGGGCATTAATGCAACCCTGCCTGAAGTCCCACGCCTCCGGGCTGGATCACAAAGAACCAGGATTCCACGGCAACACAAATAACTATTTACAGGACCATCACCGGTCACCATGCACTGTGACACACCAGCATCACACACTCTAGTAACTTTAATTATTATGACACTTTAGTTTATAAACTGATGATCAAAGAACAGACATAAAGCCTTAGAAAATTCTGGTGTTTAGACATCCAGATAGTACACCTCTTACCAAATGAAATTCTACTAGTTCAAAACCTTGAGAGTTCCCCAGGTGAAATCTGAACCTAAGGCCCATACATGAGGGCCCAGAGAGACTGGAGGAAGAGGCTGCCACTCCACACAGTGGTCATGACAGGTTTAAAAAGAGAGAGAACTTACTTTGAGGCTTGTCTTGGGTGTCGCAAGATGAACAGATCTCCACAGTTCCCGCCAGAGTCTTGAAACTGGGTTCAGTCACGTACCCCATCCTGATAGTCTCAACGACAAAGTGCTCTCTCCAGGCTGCGCCCCACTGTGGGAACGGTGGGCAGAGTGTACGTTCCAAGGACCAGGAGAGGGTGAGGAGCCTCCATTGTCTGGGTCCAGTTCGCAGGTCAACCAGCAGTCACATCCTCTCCATGACCTCCTCCAACAAATGCCTAAAAATAATACTCAAACATCAGTGTATGAATGACAGCTACCTCTGGGTATGGAATAAAAATTGGTATGGGCACAGGAAAAATGTATTGCTTTGTTCTCTAAACTTCTCTATTATTGAAAAACAATTTTACAGTGAACCCATGCTCATTTTTCTATTACGTTAACGATTTTAAATAAAATGTTACAAAAGTGATCAGATCTAGATAAAATCCTGACAAAATTTTGATAATTCTATGGCAGAGAGAAAGAAAACAGAACAATTTGACTACTCACAGAGCTCTCTGAGGTCAGCACTTAAAAGAATGGGTTACATTGTAAATCAACCATACTCCAATTTTAAAAATTTTTAAATAAAAATAAAAGAAATGGTTAAAAAGAGAGAGAGAATTGACACAGATCATTAGGATCACTGAACAGAGAGTGTGAATGAAATGCCTTAAATTGAGCAGGCAGGTCTGTAGCAAAATGGCCAGAATAGCCCAAAGCCCAGACTGCCAGACTGTGTTGCGATCTATGAAAAAAACTCAAGACAATAATATATATATGTAATACATTTGCTAAGAACAGACAAGAACATACGCTGAACAAGAGAGGCGACTGGGGAAGATGTATACTTTTGTTAACCTGACAGAAACAACAGAACGACACACACTCAATATTATTTTCTTTGGTTTTCTTTAACAGAGAGAAGTCAAGAAAGGGTTGTCAGGGGAGAACTGAAACTCAGTATGTACGTGAGAGATGGTTAAGAGGGGGGAATACCTTCCGTCGGGGCTCTTCTGTGATTGCAGGGAGGCAGGAGCGAATCGTGACAGGTGCAGGGACCCTTCATCCACCTCACAGTTTTCATCCTCCCCCCCATGGGATAATGGCAAGCCCAGTCCCCTCAGCCCGGTCTCCCCTCAAGAACTCGTATCAAGAAGGCAGAGACGGCTGGCTCAGCGAGGTCTTGGCTGCTGTGCCCGAGAGGCTGGACCAAGGTGGAGTGCCACCCCCTCTCAGGAAGGAGCCTCCCGTCACCTTTGAGGCAACTGCTCTTAAAATAATCTCAGAAAATTTTCCTGCCCTTCATGGCATTTAGCATCTTCTTGAGTTCTGACTGTACACCAGACATAGAGTATCCATCCATAAACATGGCAGCTGGACAGTTCTGAATTTGGTGATGGACTTGTTTCAGTACTAGCACCTTTTGACAAATCCTTCAAACAATGTAACCAGAGCTTTTCAAACCATCTTTCCACTTGCCCACCTGGTTTTACCCACTGCTGATCCCTCAGCCGTCAAGAAATAGGAGATTTTATGACCCTGATCATACCTGAGAGCTGGTTTAAACTTAAAATATGCAAACCCATCTTGACTTTAACACGGTGCTGGTAACCACAGCTCTAGGTCACACGTAGGCTGAGGGCTGCTCTAGGGAGCTGAATAGAAATTGGGAATGTAATTTGGTGCAGTCACTATGAAAAGCCAGGATGGCGGTTCCTTAAAAAACTAAAAATAGAGTTACCATATGATCTAGCAGTCTCACTCCTGGGCATACATCTGGAGAAAACTTTAATTAAAAAAGATACATGCACCCCAGTGTCCACAGCAGCACTATATAAAATAGCCAAGACATGGAAGCAGCCTAAATGTCCATCAGCAGGTGACTGGATAAAGAAGTTGTGGTATATATGTATACAATGGAATACACTCAGATATTGAAAAAAAAGCCATTTGCAGCAACATGATAGACCTAGAGATGATCATACTAAGCGAAGTAAGTCAGACAGAGAAAGAGAAATATCATATGATATCACTTATTTGTGGAACCTAAAAAATGATACAAATGAATTATTTATAAAACAGAAACAAACACATAGACATAGAAAACAAACTTACAGTTACCAAAGGGGAAGGGGCAGGAGCAAGGGATAAATTAGGAGTATGGGATTAGCAGATCCAAACTACTATATATAAAATAGATAAACAACAAGGTCCTACTGTACAGCACAGGGGACTATATTCAATATCTTGTAATATCCTAAATGAAAAGAATATGAAAAAGAATATATATATGTATAACTGGATCACTATGCTGTACACCAGAAACTAACACAATACTGTAAATCAACTATACTTCAATAAAAAAAATAAGAAAAAAATTAACAATTTATTTCATATTTTTATATGCTCAGAAATCCAAATCCCTAACTTCTAAGATAATTTTGCGAACTTTTTTTTTAGATGAGGACTGTTTGTAGAAGTGTTTTTCTAAGTTGTCACAATTAATTCAAATTTATGAAATATTTTCATTTCATTTTATTTCATAAACAGGAGGCAAAGGAGCGAAGTGATCACCATCTAATTTCTGAGGACCTTTCCCAAATGTGCCTTTACAGACGTGCCTCTGTTCTGGGCCTTGATCTGAAACGGGAAATTCTTCTGCACCATCAGTACTGACGGGAGGTGGTGAAGACTGGCAATCACAGTCTCTCTCCAGACTTTTAATGTACAAGCGCAAACTTAAGTTTCCAAACTTAAAAATAAGTAGCACTAGATCAATATTGGCAGTATGTAGGATCTTTTTAATATGAAATTTTATGAAGCAGTTACCTCTATTAAAAATAGAATTACCTATAAATTTATATAAACCAATGGATGCAAATTGACTAACTGAAATCAATTGATCATCATCAAATATTGTACTCAATTATAAATTATTAGCTGTAAAAATGAGAGTAACGTGCAGAAATAGCTCACTGCTTAATAAATACAACTGTGAACTGTTATTGTAGCATGTATTTCAATCCCCTTCCATCTGTGGTTACCTTTAGTTTCTGCAAACATGAAAGGAACAAATTAAAAAATAAAATCAGAGCAAAATGAAAATGAGGATTTACTTTGAAGTTAGACAGATCATAATGCTTAAAAATTTTTTTTTAATTTTCTTAAATTGAAAGAGTGGTAGTTTTTTTTTTTTTTTTTGAGGACCCTTCGTACCATTTTCCACAGTGCTGCCCCAGTTTACAGTCCAACTAACAGCATGCGAATCCCTTTTCTCCACATCCTCACCAACATTTATTACTCGTAGGCTTTTTGATGAAAGGCGTTTTTGCAGATATGAGATATCTCATTTTGATTCTGATTTGCATTTCTCTGATGATTAGTGATGCAGAGCATTTTCTCACATGCCTATTGGCCATCTGTATGTCTCCTTAGGAAAAACATCTCTTTCGGCAGACAGACCAGAGTTTTGATCCCAGCTCTTTTGCTGACTACAAGTGTGACCTTGGGCCTAAGCTTCCTCATCTTCTAATTAGGTTAATTGGCACTGACCTTATTGTAATTAAAGAGAATCATGTTTTTGATAAAGCCTGTCATAGTGCCCGTCACATGGAAGCACCTTATAAATGGTAACTTATTATCATGCAGAGTTGACTAAATTTCTATAAATATTATAATGGATATGGAAAAGACAGAATGCTTTATGAGTACATTGTATTGATATCTACACAAAAAGGTAAACAATCACAGTGCGTATAAACTGCTTTCCTGATTCGTGTTTCCTCAACAGACCCTGCTCTCTTTGTGCCTCTGCATTTCCATCAAGCATGTTGATGAGTGAGAACTCTCTTTAGGAAAGTAACCTTCACTTGATCAAAAGAAAATAAAGGCAACAGTTACAAAGAGAATGTCTATGTACACACATTATGAGTAAAAATACACTTTGCAAAATCCTTTTTATTGAAACAAGCCATTTCTAAGTGGAAAAATGACACATGCTGTAGCTGTCGCTCCATCTCTCTCTGATTACTGCTGTTGGTGGTTAATAAGGATTTTAAAAGAAGCAGTAACAATAAACAATAATGTTTAGTGCCCAAGGTTTGTACAACATGTTGGAGTTTTCAAAGTGAGAAGCAGCATAGCATAGGGGTTACAGAAATGGGTCCCCAGTCCAAGGAGATTGTGTCAAAATCCCAGACCAAACATTTAAAAGCTGTGAAAGTCTGGGTAAGTTGCTTAGCCTCTCTGGGTCTCATTTTTCTCATTTCTAAAATGTGGATAATAATAGCCCCAAATCACCAAAATTGTTTTGAAAATGGAATTGATGTTTATAAACCATTTCAAATAATGCCTCCACAAAGAACACTATTTAAAGGTTTGTGCATATAAAACAGATAAACAGCAAGGACCTACTGCATAGCACAGGGAATTACATTCAATTTCTTGTAAGAAGCTATAATGGAAAAGAATCTGGGGGAAAAAAATACATATGTATTGGTATAACTGAATCACTGCCGTACACCTAAAACTATCATTGTAAATCAACTACACATCAGTAAAAAATAAAATAGAATAAAAATAAAGGTTTGGGTGGGATACTGTTCGCTTTATAAATAACACTATTTTAAACACTGCTTCATACTATTTAAAAGCGAACACTAGTTAAGGGTTGGCCAAATAAATATTTCAACTGATCCTCAAAGCAAGGCTGTGAAGAAGGCAGGAAATTTAGTCACGATTCACAGATGGATCTAGGGGAACATGGTAGTTAAGGTCCTCACACAAGCTCATACAGCTTGTCAGTGGAATATATGAGTAGAGGTTCTGTTTATTAAAACTGAACCACTCCCAGTTTCTTAGAAATCTTGTTTCGGAGGTAGCCCCTGAAAACCTACTTGGATAAACCAGGTGGAAAGAAGGGGGTCGCTTTTTCAAACTATGGCAACAGAATTAGTTTAATCACGCAGTTGTCAAAGCAAAACTCCAGACACTGAAAACATTTGGCCTACATAATAAATGTTTTATTGAGTTTAATTAACTTCATGGGAGTAGGAAGGTGAGAGAGAAAAGGAAGTATCCTTCCTTCTCTACAAAAGAAACATGGAAATAAAAATGTTTCTGTGTATAAGCTCCCCCAAGTCCTTTGTGGCTTGGAATAATAGATGCATTTTTTTTTTAGAGCTGGAGGAAATTTTAGACATCTAATATCCTAGATTTATAGAATACCAA